TCTTTATATCATAGCCATCGCTGACGCCGTTTTTTTTTCACGACCATATTGTATTTCCCATTAATCGCATGGTGGCAATACTAATTTATATTTAAAGAGATATATCTAAATGTGTATAAACTAGGTATTTTATTAGCAATCATATTTAAGCTATTATGACTCATAATATATTCTAATTATTTGAAACTTGAAACATAATATTTACTCCTATTATATTCATGTAACTAAATTTTCTAATATTAATAACTCTCTGATAATAAAAAACAAGAGTGTGTTTTGAAAAAGTAAAGCATAATTACTGTGTATTGACTTTATTGTGAAAAGCAACCTATTTGAAACACATTTACGTAACTACAGAATAGTTTAAAAAAGAACTTACACACATGTTTTTTTAGTCTATTTTCTTTATTATATTTGAAAACTACAGTCCCCCTTCCAATACATAAAAACATTTATATTCAAATATACTCTAGATAGAGCTCCAATTTTTATATGAAATGAGAATTTGTTCACACATAAACTACCGTATGATCGAGAAAAAACGGCGTCAACGATGGCTATGAAATGAAGGTCGCTGTCATTTTATATGTAAATTTATATAGGAAATGTCATTGATCGTCATTTCCCAGCCAACTGGACGCCGTTTTTTTTTCGATCATATGGTACATTTTATGTATTTTATTCTTTAATTTTAATTACTACAAATGGTCTTGATATTTTTCTTTTGAATACATATATTCTTGTTACTCTCTTTCATCTTTGTCTCTAATATACAGATGCATTGCAATTTGTTGTTAGTATATTTATGTAATCATTTCATAAATCCTAAAAATAAAAATGGTTATAACATGCTTTCCAGATATCCATATCCACAATATTCTGTGTGTAAATATGTTCAATTTTTAATAACCCATTCACTAAATGAGATTGTGAGACAACATACAGGTAGCTGTTTAAATAATTTTCAATCTTTGTATGTAATAATAGATTTCACATATTATATGCATTACACAATATGCATTACCTGCAATAATAAAAGATATTTTCTTTAAAGTGTATAATTCTATCTAACACACTTCTAATAAAGTATACTCTGACTCTTTGAACATTTGTTACAGCTTCTAATAATTAGGTATATCGATAACTTCCTAAGAAATTTTGTTAGCACTTTTAGTTAGTTTACCATATATTCTGCATAATATATGACTCGATACATTCACCTAGAATAAAATCAATAATATCATTTATGAATAGAAAACTACATGTATAACTTTTTCGTTAATATTTGCAATTTCAGACCAGAACTTGTCTGAAGAGAACTTTCTTGGTTTGTTTAAAAATATCTTACCGTATAACATAAATTTACATCTGAATTAATCTAATCAGATCAAATTTTCTTCATAGTATAGAAAACATCGAAACTATTTGACTGGTAATCGAGCTATCAATAAACTGACACTAAAATTTAATGCATAATTAAATGGGATAATTATTTTCATGTAAAACAAAACTTTATACTTAATAAGACCACAGGGAGTACATAATAACAGTGTTACTGAGATTTTTGATTTAATGTATTGCTTGGTATTTGTAGATCTATTATTGTATTGTGATTACAATTGCCTTCTTCTCCATTGATGCATCCTAATTTAAGATTACTGATTTTCTAATACATAATTAAAGTGAAATTATTTTTCCTACCATTACATAATTAATTTCTTCCTACCATTAGGTAGATACCTGAAAGGTTAATAAATTAAAAACGAATTTATTAAGACATTTAAACTGTTTACCTCATTTCTCACATATTTTTGACACCAAACATTATAAATAAATCAAAAAATATTCGTATACCAACTGAATTATATGATATTTCATTTTGAATAATAAAAGTACTTTTTTACAGGTTTATTTGGCATTGTTTGCATTGTTTTTTGTTGTTTTCTGTTTTGTTTTTGTGCGAGTTTAATAACCCACGATTAACCTTAAACATAACCTTAAACTACACACCATACTAGGGATGTACGATTCGAATCGATTATTATCAAATCGACGTGATTTTTATCAAACGATTTTTTGGTATAATCGATCTTTTTTTTTAAATCGAAGACCGATTTTATTTATACAGTTTTACAGGTTTATTTATTTGTTAGAATTTAGAATAAGAAAAAACACTTTAGTTTTGCTGGAATATTTGTTTGCAGTGCATCCCTAGTAAAAGGCCATCTAGCAATGAACTGAAAAATTAAGTGTAAGTGCTCGCTGCCGCATGCGCCGATGTTTGTTTATCACTTTGATATCAGGTGTCAGATTTTTGTCGGTGCTTCCCATATTTTTATATTTTAGATAACGTAGAATACTCTTTGATTTTACCTTAATTCTTTCTTGGGTATACCCTTTCTTGTACTTTTATTTTATTTTTTGGGATATCCCTACTCCATACATTAAACATTTAGAAAATTGATTTATCTATCTTTATACAACCACCAAAACGTTGACCCATAATAGTAATACATCAGTCCAGTAGAGGACGCTAAGGTAAAAAATTTCTAAATAAAAATTTGTAATTTGTAATTCCTTCAGTGTTTTCGAAATCGTTGTCGGGGTTGCGTCGGTTTTGAAGAAATGTCGAAGAAAACCCCGGACTGTCTACCATCAGCCTCCGGATATAAGTAGTTATTAAATCAAGTTTTTTAACATTTTTTATTGTATTTATGAGTTTAGTGTGTGATTATTATCATTGTTATCATGTGATAGGTTTGTGATGTTCAGTTTAATAGATATTTGGTGTGTATGTGTTTACGTATATGTGTGCTGGATAAAAAACACTTTCATTAAAAGGGTAAGCTCTAACTAAACATTAAAGGTTATAATTGTTTATTGAAACGATTGAAAATATTTCCTAATATGGCGAAAAAAGAAGCTATAATTGTTAAGATTTATTTTTTCAGTTTACTCCACTGTAAAAAGTATTTAAAATATTGCGCGTTTCTCTAGAATTAGTAGAGCAATCTACACTAATATGAATAAAATTAATTTTCGTATTTTTTTCTGTAGCAACTTAAAATAATTGAATTTATAGATAAACATGCAGAATGTGGGTATGGTAGGAGGTGGCAACGTTGCATTCTCTCCGACACTCTCTATGTCCGGTAAACGAATTTCCCGGGGAGTGAACAGTGGCACTCAAAAGTTTTTCAACATTTTCCGGAAAATGTCAAGAAAAATATCAACTTTTCAACATTTTTTTTTCGCAAAAAAAACCTCATAGGCGTGTTTCTGGGGTTGAACTATACTACCAGTTAAAATATCTGCACTTATTTCTGGGACACCCTGTATAGCCACTTACTAGCAAAAATGTTGTTCCATTATTTCACTCGATTTTTGACCGAGATCTACCGCACGCTACACAACCAACTATTTTACAGTCTTTTTCGATAAATCGCAATAGTGTCACTGTTAATTTAAGTTCTGCCACAATTTTCATCTAGATTTACTACCTTTATACAACTATCAGTAGTAGAATAAATAATAAACAACATAAAATAAGCTCCGTAAAGACTGACAAATCCACAAAATTTCAAATCAAATTCAAATATGTCAAACGAATCGTCAAACAGAACTGTCAAGGATTCCCACCCTAGAGTCCTTTTTTCGCCCACCATGCATGAATACATGGATAGCATTATGCTCCTTCCTTAATCTTTTTATTCAAAGCTCGTGCGCAGTAATTCAAATGTGTTCCAACCGAGATTTGACGGTTATCGGACGATCCTATTTGCGTACCAACCTACCTTGGTACCTATCGTTTAGTTATGATTTCAGAACGGTAATTTCGTTACATGGTCCAAATTGAGAACTGTTTGGGCTGACTTGCGCATTAAAGCATATTGGCAGGTATTATCGATTTTTAACAGCTGATTCTGGTCCTGCGTCCGGCTGATGCTGCTGTCTTGGTTATTTTTTACGAATTCGAAGACGTGTGTGTTATACTTTTGCTTGTGAGTTTGTGTGGAGTAAATCTTTCGGAAATTTTAAATTGTACACTTTCATAATTATCTATAGATAATAATTAAGGATGAGTGACGATCACTGCTGAAATAACTGTAAACTACGCATAACAGGATCATAAAAGAGAGGATAGGTAAGTGAGTTAGTGAGTATACAGTTAAAACAACACTTACCAACAATTACTGGATTCTGATTCTCCATTTCAAGAATAATAATTATTATTATTGCAAATTGCAAACATAATGTTATGAAATTCTAGACAAAAACAAGAAACCGATTGATACACGCACGCTTGACACAAAACAATCCACAAAGCGTTGATACTTTTTGCACCGCCACGAAACTATTCGTCCGCGATGCTAACAAAGTCCGCGCATGCTAACAAAGTGCAAGAAAACCGATTCGAGTACGATTTCGAAACGATCGATCCCGAAATGCTGGTTGGAACAAACCTATATTATATATTTTATTGACGTTTACTCTAGTAGGGATGGTTTTAAGTTCTGAAGTATCGACTATTGCCCTTTTAATTGATCATGGTAGAGATCAACTTGTGGATTTAAAACAATATCGCCAGAGTAACGGGTCAACAGACAAGAATATGATTTTTTGAAGGCAGTGACATTACATAAATCATAAACACTATTCTATACATCTGTTGACTAGAATGTCAATACTAGTCAACAGATGTATAAAATAGTGTTTAGACATAGTCAATACCAATGTTATATTCCTTGCTTTGTTAACGTACTCCACAGGGTGTTTCAAACACTCACCAATATATTAACATTTTGTTTTTGCTCGTATAATTGACAGATGTCCAATCAAGTCAGTCCAAATAATTTAGCTACAAATTGCTTAAAAAATCATCAAAATCGGTTCACTAAAACACAATACATAAAACTTTAAAATACATGAGAATTTTAAGGTGCCCGTTTTTCGTGCCGGTGAGTGTAGTACAAATTCAAAAAAAAAAGTAAACAACATACCTTCAGGTGGCGGTCGAATCTGATGAGTAGCTGTCGTTCTAAAACTCTTGTCATCTTCGGCGTTCTGCGCTACCGGCTTTTGCACGGGCTGCGCCTTTGAGACGCTTGTAGCTGCCTGAGTGACCACCTTGGTGGCGTTAGTATCGCCGACTAAGTGATTCAATCCCCCTACGGTAACCACCGAACCCGACAGAGTTTCAGCGACGGTTTTGACGATGGTCACTTGATTTGCGGCGGGTATTAGGGCCTTGATATCGTCCTTCGAGAAACTACGCCTCCTCGACAGCTGGCAATCGTTTTCTTTCTCTTCCGTGTTTATTCCGACCGACGTGACAGTTTTCGTTTTGGTTTGTTCGCGACCTTTCGGTGGTCTGTTTAACGTAGAGCTCCCTGTAAATTTAAATGAAATGTTATAAAGACTCTCTCTCTAATACGTTCTCGAATTAGAAAATAGTGAAGTTTAATATACTAACACTAAACAATTTTGTTAACAATAAATATTTATAAATCGCGTATATACTTCTAAACTTTTGCTCTAAAATCATCAAATCAACATGAATGTTTGTAAGATTTGAGAAAGACATTGTATTAGGACTTAATTGGAATGGCATTATTGTAAATCTTAAAAGTAAAGAAAAAACGCAATCGTTTCTAGACTAAAAACATAAAAGAATAATGGAACAACTTTTCACTAGTAAAGGTAGGTTTATATACAGTTCATACCAAATAAACTTTTAGTCACGTGATTAACCTTGCGATTTTTAAATTCATTGTTGCCAACCATGGATATATTCGGCGCCGTGCTGACTAACTGGAATTTAAATTTCGCGCTGGGTATTCAGGTGGTAGCTCTATTGCAAAAAATGTCAAGTTGTCGCACTTATTTCTTTATTTCCTGATATTGTCATTCGTTTTGACACTTTAGTTTTGTATTATCAGTTTTTTTAAGCTTGATTTTCATGCATCCGTTGTCCGACGATACGATATTAATTTCATTGGTTGAATTTACAGACTTCGGTTGGTTAGAAACGGTTAACCAATCGAAGCCTTTAAATACAACCAATAAAATTAATATCGTATCAACGTATCGTCGGACAACGGATGCATGAAAATCAAGCTTTAGTCTAAATGAATTGTGTTGTGGTACTTTAAGCTTGAAAATGTTTACTAGCAGGCCGTTGGAAACTATGGAAACTACAAAAAAATTCTGATTTAACGCCATCTGGCAATAACTAGTAGCAACTTTCTAACCTAAAAATTAATTGCACTGCCACCTAGCGACAGGATCAACTATTTTTTTGATTTTTAAATAATACTCGAGGTGCCCGGTGGCGTAGAGGTACAGGCTCTCGTCTACCAATCTCAAGATGTGGGTTCGATTCCCACACCCGGCATTTCATCAGCCGACTATTTTTATTAAAATAAAAATAGTTTGGTTACCTAGGGCGACTCAGCCTTAAATGAGTACTTGGGATTCACAATCCTGAGGTAATAATAGGCGGTTGAAGCGTAGTGCTAGCCACATTACCTTCCTTGTATACCGAACGGCTCTAGTATAGCAAGCTGTACCTTGCTACTCCCAAGGCGTTAAACGCTATATACGGGAGCTATTATTATTATTAAACAATACTCGAACTCCAACTTTTGATTTTTAAATAACGCTCGGTATTTTTTTATTCTATTTGGTAGAAAATGACATTCTGAAGAGAATGGCATATCATATATCAACTTTTGACATTTTCTCTTCATCTTTCTCTTTTCTCAAATAAATGTATTAAAGAACAGAAATAATTTTCTCTTGTCAAAGTCAGAATCTTCAAAAATTATAAAATCTTTCAAAATTTAAACCGCCCTCATTGAAAAAATACCGAAAAGTGTTTAAAGCATCCATTTTCAAAGTAATTTTGCTATCTTGTGAGTTTAATTTAAATTTTATTTACTCAAACCCGTGATAATACTGATAATTGTGAAAAAGTGGCATTAAAAAAATTTAAGCTGTGTGAACTGTTAATACACAGATACAGGCATAACGTCGGTTTCCAATGTTTCATAAGTATTCATACATGTCCTTATATAAAATAAAGTTTCTTATATGCAACACACTGTATTTTATTTAAAAATTAAAAGAAAATAATAATAAATTTGAATAAATAATATTTGGCGACATAATTCCGGGAAAAGCCGAACCGCTCCGAAATTATCAAAAGCTTTGGAGAGCGACCGTTGCAAGAATAGCGCGCAATAATATTTACATTGTCATTATGGGTACTTTCCAATCTAAACTTGTTTCATTTATCTATGTCATATTTGTTTAGCTGCATTTCAGTAATATTAAAATTAATTGAAAGTCTAGTATTCACTATTTTCACTCCAAAGTAGCAGATAAATCAATGGCAGTACTCTATAATATACCGGCCTGGTGATTCTAAATCTGCAGTCTGTATTTTAATTAGTGATGGGAAAACCCCATGAATTTCGATAATACTCGCGTTTCAAGCGATGTCACTAATCGAGCGACCGCTCGGGCGAAATTTCGCTAGATTAATTGTACGCCTTCCCTTGTTCTCCGCTAATGCCAAGCAGTAATCTGCTTGCGCAGTGCATATTCTTTCGATGATGAGTGGCAAGCGACGAGCGACGAGGAATTCGCTTGATCAGAGACGGGATGATTTATGAATTTAGTTTCGTTTAAATCATTGTCGATATAGGTTGTAGAATTATGTCACTCAGATACGTAACGGATAATGTCATATAGTCCCATAGTTAAATATGCTGCCTAGATAAAAAAAAAACAATCTGTTGTTTGAAGATATTTTAAGAAAAATAATGATAAAAAATCTGCTACCTGCAATGTATGTAGCAAATTTGCTCGCCCTTGTATGGAGTATATCACATTAAAATTGGATTTTAATTTATTTCATTCTGAGATCGCTTGCGTTCGTCGCTCGTAACTCGTCACTTCATCGCCCTCTAGTCGAGCGATGTCGGTTATTTCAATAATCGAGTACTCGAGCCAATTTTCGCTCGAGCTATTCTATCACTAATTTTAATTAGTAAGATATACAATATGATCGAAAAAACGGCGTCAGCGATGGCTATGAAATGAAAATCGTTGTCATTTTATATGTAAAAGTATATGGGGAACGTCATCGATCATTTCCAAGCCAACTGGACGCAGCACTGTCGTTTTTCTTTCTATAATGTGTGTTTGTATTTTAAATAATATTTGACGATTTTGTGTTTTATTTTAAAGAGTTTTGATAATCTGTCAAGCATGACTTAAAACAGTTCAACCAGAGTACTCAATCGTCGGGCAAGCGCAGAAAATGCCAGCCAACCTAAGGATAGACTTTATACCCTTTATATATGCCTCAATCTTGGGACAAGAATTCATATAATATACACAGTATACTCTTTTATAAGTATATGATGACCACTTTTTTGGAAAAATAATTTCTAAGAATAATATTTTTTAATAATTCTTTATTTCTTTAACACAGTTTAATTGAATTCCCGTGTCCCTAATGTCGACAAATATCAAAACACTCTGGACAGGAAAATATATTCAAAGAAAACTTATCACGCATCGTTTTCGTTGAATATTACTTCACCTGAGGGATAACTGGAACCTGACGGTCTTTCTGGAACACTGTCACTATCTTGAGCACTTCTTCCTGTGGGCGGAACAGGAGCTGCCGGCTTTTTCCTTCGCAAATTTGGTTTCGGGCTATCCAATAAGCTCTCAGTACTGGTCGCATCCACGTGCTCTATTGTCGTTCTGTTGGATCCGTTCCGTTGTAATTCGTCGTCGGCAAAAATCGCCGAGGTGACAGTTACATATTTGCTAACATCATCTGGGAAAAACGTGTCTACTTCTCGAACAAACAACTCGACGAGCATGTTGATGGTTACGCAAGTACCCATATTTGTGTTGGCCTAAAAATTCATACAAATATATTTTATATTATTCAAAAATATCTTTAAAACTGTCAAAATATTCTAAAAATAATTTTATGTTATAACACCATACCGGGTGTTTTTCAAAAGTGGCTCACCTCTATAACTTTTTTATATTTTGAGATAAAAAAACGAGATTTGGCATTTGGCATGTTAGTATAGGACATAAATTAGAATTGATTGACGCATTCAATAATTGTTTTCGATCACTTCCTGTTTCACCGAAAACGACTATAACTTTTGATTTTTAAATAGCACCCTCGGTATTTTTTACCTTATTCGATAGAAAATGACACTCTGAATCGCATGACATATCATATGTCAACTTTTGACATGTTCGCTGATTGACGTTTTTAATTGCTTTCGGCACTTGCTGTTTCATCGAAAATGACTCAAACTTTTGATTTTTAAAGAGCACTATCTGTATTTTTTAACTCTATTTGGTAGAAAATGAAATTCTGAGTTCATGACATTCCCAGTGAGCAAAGTTTTGTCACATTTAGGGAACATTAGGGAACAATTACGTATCTGCGTTTTATTGCTTCATATCAGGCAAAAGATGGGCCAGGTAACGTAACAACGACGTCATCTGGAACACATTTCCCTTAAAGGAATAAAATGCTCACTGAACCACATGTGGTACTAAATAATTTACTTTTTTTTAATTTTTTAACAAAACGTCAACGGTTTTTGTAAATGTATCTGTTTTAAAAAAAAACTAAAATGTTCTCGAATAGTTGCATTTAGATATTTAAATAGTTTTTTCTTTGTTCTTTGTGTTTTTTTGCTTCCTACGACGGAATGAGATATACTTTAAGCAATTTTTTGTCCGTTAGTCAAATTTGTTTGTGTATATTATTAACGTCATATTTTTTGCTGTTCTTCTTTATGTGTATTCTCTAACATTTTAAAACAGCAAGAAATATGGCGTTAATTAAAATTCTATTCACAAGAATCTATCAAAAAAGGAAAACGAAATTATATTACCATAGAAACGCGTTCCGATTTTTAGAACTTGGAACTTGGACTTGGAAACAAAACAATTCCCGATGCACGTGATCAACTTTGAGTGACAATTGTGATGGATTTATGAGATGAATCTTAACGTAAAATTGGGAAACAATATATTTATTATACGATTTTTACGTTTTATTTTTAATTTAATAATTAATATTTTAGTAATTAATTTATTTATTGTCACTACTTAACACCCACAATAACAATATTTAAATTTAAGGTAGCACCTACTCGCTACAAATCGAAATAAGTAGAAATAACTTTGAAGGTATAATGTGCCTTGTATAGTCTGTGAAACGAATAACTTTGGATTTGACAGTTCCCGCGGGCTTTTCTAGTGTTAATTTTTTTAGGTTAGCAACTTGCGGCCATGCGGGCCATGGCAACACAATGCCGTCTCTAATAGAACAGCCTCGGAGCGAGATTTATGACGTCACGTTTTTTATTACATGTAATTTTTTGGATTATATTCGACACTATTTTTTTCATATGACACAACACTGATGAAGGTTATAATGTTAGCCGAAACGTTTTTTTTTAAACCAAAAAAAAATAATGAAAACCCAAATGAAAATTTAATCAGCGTTTTTTCCGAACCTAAATCCCAAGAAAATCAAAAAATTTTAGAATAATTTTACATATAAAATGACAGCGATCTTTAATTCATAGCCATCGCTGACGCCTTTTTTCTATATTATATTATTTGCAAATATAATTTTTCGAACATTGATACTTGCGAAATACATATACACATAAATTAATTAATAGTAATAATAATTAATAGTAATTAGTACCTAGATATTGAATGTTTTTTGTTAAATTAGATCGATTTTCAAACCCCAAAATTTAAAATATATTTTACATTTATGTACCTATTCATTATTTGTATATTGAAAAACATTTGCTGCATTTGTATGGTTCATAGTTTATTTTTCAAAGTATTTATTACTATAAATAGGTATATATATATATATATATATATATATATATATATATATATATATATATATATATATATATATATATATATATATATATATATATATATATTGTATTTATTAACTGTATATTATGTATATTTCATTTAAACTATATCATTTTTAAAATACAAACCAAAAATACGAGGAATAATTATGTTTTCCATGTATTCTACAACATATTTATTAATCCGTTGTATCTAACTAACGTGACGTCATAAATCTCGCTCCGAGGCTGTTCTATTAGAGACGGCATTGGTCTGATATTTAGAAATGTCAAAAGCTGATGACATTTTACTTTTAACAATTATGACATTTCGTGTTGATTTTTGTAAGAAGAGGAAGAACTGTCACTTGTTTTATTATTTTCCTTTTCTATTTCACGTAGGTAAAAAGAGTTACCTATCTGATCCGTTCAGGCACTCAATTTAAAGAATATCAGTAACTTTTTTGACAGAGGGATTTTATATTTGCCATGTTGGTAAAAAATAACGGTCAAAATTCAAAGTTATTCATTTTATAGACTATATTTGTTGTAACAATCAAATTTATTTCTCTGACTGCAGTCAAGGGTAATAAAGGACCTATAAGTCAGGTTCTCGTTCGAAATCAGGAAAGCTACAAGCGCTTTGCTTCGACTGTTTAAATTCTTAAACATATTTTCGATACACAATTTCAGGAAATGCAATAAAAAACTCGAAAATTTAGTTCTTAAAAGAACTGTTTGTACTTAAAAGCATAATGTTTGAAAAAATACTATGAAAATCGGCAAAAAGAAACAGAATTACTTCCAAAGATTCAACAACAACACAATATTATACAAAATAATGACTGACATTATAATTGTCAAATAATAAACGACAACGTTGCTGGTCGCGGCGCAATGTGACCAACATGGCGATAATAAAAATCGCTTTAAACTATTTTTTGTAGGTTTAATCTAAATAAAATATCTGTTATAATCATTTGCTCTATGAAGTAAAATGAAGAGCTGCTCGGTATCTTAAATTATACAACGAGTTTAAACATTACTGCCAAAATTTCATTTAGTCAGGTTTATAGGCTTCAGTTTCCATTTCGATATGTTTGATGACGTGTATCGGAAAATGTTTTGCGATTACCGTATATTTTCATGTTTTTTTCCTTAAAAACTTAAAATAAAAACTTAATTTTCTCTAAAACGGTATGGAAATCTGGAAAAGTATAAACGAAATTAACACTTTTAAAACAAGCAAAATTTTTTATGAAGAATGCATTTTTCTCATAATCTCAATAAAAAAGCTTTTCCTCTTGTAAAGACAATCCGGGACATACTGTAGATTGAAATTTAAAATACTATTTTTCTTAACTAAAAATGTCAAAAGTTGATATATGATATGTCATTCTATTCAGAATATTTTCTACAAAATAAAGTAGAAAAATGCCGAGGGTACCAGTTAAAAATCAAAACTTGTAGTCATTTCCGGTGAAACAAGAAGCAACCGAAAATAATTCAATATGTCAATCACTCCCGATGTATGTCATATACAGGGTGATTCCTGTAAGTTGGTCACATCCTTTCGAGGAATGTTAGGGGACGTCGAAATATTAATTTTGATATAGCACACTATGGGTCGGAAATGTCTCTTACGCAAGATACAGGGTGTTAAAGTTTTTGAAAAATTAAAGATATTCTGTAATAGTTTTTTAACAGTTCAAAAATCAAAATCAAATCAAAATAGTTTATTTACTTTTTTTTAAACATTAATATACACAATAAACAAAGAGAAAAAATTAAGTAAATGGGACTGTGTCGCGATTATAAAAAAAACCGATACACAAAAACAAAAACAGTAAATGTTTTTGTGTCGCACAGCCCTGTAAATATTTAAAACAAATATACATGCATAAATGATACAAAGATTAATACAAAGAATTCAAAATAAAATACATAAAATATACTCAAATACAAAAAAAGAGAATGCAATCAACGGGAATGACCAGGAGGAAGGCTAGGGCACCAGGGAAAAGTTAAATTAAGTTGAAATCATCAGGTTATTATTAAAATTAAAAACTAAAAGGCGACGAAAGCAGGCAGGCAGGTTAGTCACTCGTTTAAATTTCTAACGGTTTTGTTTTTGTTGTTCTAAATATATAGACTTGACACTATTTACAAATTTTTCATATGAAAGCTCTTGAACGCATTTAGGAATCTGATGCCACAATTGAATCGCTACAAAGCTGAAAGATCTCTGAAATGCCGCAGTTCTGTGCTGGGGGACTTTGAAATTATTTACATTTCTGGTAAAATAAGAATGTTCATGAGAATTGAAAAGTGAATTTAAATAGGGTGGTTTTCCGGTTTTTAAAACTTTATAAATAAATGATAACATATGACATTTACGTCTATTGCACATTGATAATATAGAATTACTATTTAGGTATGGTGTAATGTGATGTCTATAGGGTATATTAAACGAGAATCGCATACATGAATTTTGAATTTTTTGTATAGATTTCGCTAGCCCTGCAGATAACGAGGCATCATAGACTATATCACCATAATCAAACAATGATAAAATAAGTGTATTGCATAAGTAATATTTAACAAAAGGTGGTAGAAATTTTTTATAAATATTTAGTTTTTTTAAGCGACAATATGCATTAGTAAGTTTATTTTTAATGTGTGAATTGAAAGTAAGTTTTGAATCGACATGTATTCCCAGATTTTTGGCCTCAGCAACTACAGGTAGCAAAACATTATTGATCTCAACTTTGAAATTTTTTGTAATACCCGTCACTCGAGCCTTGCTGGATTCAAAAAAAAGTACACAAGATTTCGAAGTATTTAATTTCAGATTATGATCTGTAGCAAATTTATCAATCCTATTTATATCAATATTATATTGTAAATTGGATATGATATAATTCTCGTTGGTGAAAGATAGATACAATTGTGAATCATCAGCGTATTGTTGTAACTTAGAATGCGATAATTCGTCATTC